CTTACTAAAAATTGATTCATTATGTCCATTATTATATTTTCTTTTTACTTGGTCTAATTTAACCTTTCCTTTTATCATTCCACTGCTATTCCCAGTGTAATCATCTTTATTCCACTGTTAACCCCAGTGTAATCATCTTTATTTTTTTCACTATTAATCCCAGTGTAATCTTCTTTATTTCACTGCTATTCACAGTGTAATCGTCTTTGTTTTTCCCACTGTTAATCCCAGTGTAATCATCTTTTTTTTCACTGTTAATCTCAGTGTAATCATCTTTATTTTTTTCCACTGTAAATCCCAGTGTAATTTCTAGAGACCTTCTTTTATCATTCTACTGTTAATCCCAGCATAATCATCTTTTACTTAAATAAATACATTATTAAAAGTATTCAAATTATTACAATTGTTATAGTTATTTAAACAATATCCCAGTTATTATAGCCATCAATTTTCTCAAGTAATACCTTCTAACTTAATATTAATATCTTAATATTAAATTGATTCATTATATCCATTAATATATTTTCTTTTAACAGTCTATTTCTAAATCCAAGTCCTGAACTTTATTTTCCTTAATATCTTCCAACCTTTTATTCTTTTATCATTCACTGTTAATCCCAGTGTAATCATCATTATGTTGTTATAATCTCAATATAATCTCTAGAGACTCCTTTTTATTATTACTATTCACATGATCAATTATTTATTCATATTTAAACACATTGTCTTTATCTTCTTTATTCTCCACCTCTATATCTTATTCCTCCTTCTTCATTTTTTTGTCCATTTATGTATACTCCCTTTCAATTTCTGTATCCTTGAATGTTTGTCTTCTGTGCAATATTATAATTATTTCTCTTATTTCCATTGTCCAAGTCAAATAGATCAATTTGTTCCTTCTCTAATTCCTGCACCATTTTCCTTTTTAAGTTAATATTAAGTTAATATTATTCTAATTATAAGAGTTCCGTTATGATACCTTCTTTTTATTTTTTTTCTCCCAAAGTCAAGCCACTTGTAGACAAGAAAATCCTCCCCCATAAGTTCTCATAGATGTTATCTGTGAAGTCCACATTTTCCATAACAAAAACCAAGTTGCAATATTCCTTTTTACTCCAGATTGTGTCTCTCTGCAATCCACAATTCCCGGTTGTTTAAAAAGTATCCATTTTGTTTCAATTACATAACAATCTTATTTAGCTTCTCTTTTTCTTTTAGGCTTAAAAGTACCAAATCATATTTAAAGTCCAGTCCAAATTTAAATAGCTCTTTTCACTTCTTTTTTCTCCCCCCCCTTTTCCTTTTATTTGTACATCAGTTCTTTTTTTTAAAGCTTATTATCCATTCTCTTTGTTTTTCTTAAAATTTAAAAAGAAAGAAGAAAGAAAATAAAAAAATCTCTTTATTTCTTTCCAATCATTTGACCATTATCCAATTGTTTAAGATTTCCAAATAGTTTATTCAAAAATCAATTTTCTATTGGGTTGTTGTCTCTTTAAAGTTACATTTCAAAGTCTTCTTTGCCCCCACTCTCTTTAGCCACTATTTATCCTTAGGGGTCTTATAATTGAAAGATGTTTCCCTTGTTGTTGTTTCATGCCTGGGTTGACTGTCACTCACCTGGCTTCAAAAAACTCCATTCCATTCCTCTCCTCTCTCCAGCTCTATGCTTAGTCCGGTTGTCCCAGCTTTGTGGCAGCCACCATGGCTGCCATCCCCCACCGCCGAGTCACAGAGAGTTCCCTCTGACCTTCGAGGAACTTGCCTGTTCCTCTTGGTCGTCCGAGGTGCCTCTCTTTCTCCCCCATCCCTACAGGACAGTTCTGGTCCACAGACCCCTTGTCAGTGGTTCGTCAGCCAGGGTTTTCGTGAAGCTCATCAGAGATCTCAATTTTATTTCAATTTACAAAAAGCGAAAATTGTAAATTGTAAAAAGAAAGAAGAATCCTAAGGTATATAAGAAATGCAAAATTTGCTCCCACATTATAATTCATTGTTTTTTCATTTTATCAGTGCTAAAGTGAAAGAACAAATTTTTTAAAGGCAGTCATAGAAATTGAAATCTATTAGGTATTGAAATCTATTTTCTAGGTATTGAAATCTATTTTCATAGGTATTGAAATCTAGTCAAAGTGTAGCATTACCAAATGATATAAACTAGAAATTGGGATATCAGCATATCAAGTGGAGAAAAGTCAAGAGATTTTAAATTGTTACCAATGCCCCTCCTCTTCCAGGTTTCATTGTACAAATGAAAATAAATTGCGAAATGGCTAAACAAATTTGTAGAGCATTATAGAACTTATGATTTTCCAGATGTTGATGAATGTTAAATCTCAGCATCTTTAGTTACTAAGGTTAATGATGAGAAGTATGAAAAGGAATTGTGTCTGTAGATACAGAGGGCCACATGGTGAAAATATCGTGATATGTTCAAAGGAAACCTATTTGCCTATCTTTTCACTCTTGACAAAGTGTTTAATAAACAAAATGATGTAAAAAATGAAAAGGGCCAATTAATTTAGTAAATTTTACTATAAGCAATTAAAATTGCTTCAAATATTGATTTATTTTAAAATATATTCTAGACAGCAACAACAGGATATTGTGATGTTATTTCATTCTAGGGTTATTCAGCACTTAAGTTTTGAAGGTAAAAAAAAAATTCAACACTGGAGTTCACATACTACAATTGTAGCATGCAGCTTTAAAAAAAAGAAAAGAAAGAATTTGCCTTTAAATTTGAAGCCCCACAGCCCCACTTTATTTTATCGTTTTTTGTTGGGTGGTCACTATCCAGTATTGTCTGATAATAGAGTGGCCATATAAATCAAGTCATATCAAATTAATATATATATTAAATGCATGCATACATTTGAGATGGGAGAAACTCACTATCAAACAGAGAACTAATTGTGTATTATAGGCATCTGCATTAATATGTGCTTGCATGATCATTTATTATTATTACTGAACTCACACATAAAGAGACTAAAATTCTTACATTCATTATGCTTTTGAACTGGGAATCTTATGACAACCATAGTTTGACTTAAAACAAAACTAGGTTGCTTTCCATAAGTTACATTCCCAAGAGCATTAAGTTTAACATTATTTTTCTAAATCTATGGACTATAACAGGAGTAGGTTATGGGTTCTGTAGGCTCTGAATTAAAAAAAAAATTCAGTTTTTTTAATTTAACAGTAAATTTAACAGTAAATCTAAAAATATTCATAAAGATTTGTATTCTGTAAAAAGTATTTTGTTTCTAATGGTTTGATTACAATATTATTTAGCAGTATTAGAGAAATACATAAAATTGTCATACATAATATCAAACTGAAGGGGAAATATTCAGTTCATTAACCCACAAGAAAATATACCTAGCATATATCTATACAACAGGAAGCAATTGATTTACTCATCCTTTTCATAAATATTGAGATCGGTTAAAAATTGGAAGAATAGTCTTTGGTAATAAAAACTGTCACACTAAAAAAACCAGTTGCTCTTGAATTATACAGAAAACACTCCTCATATTAGGATTTTTACAAATATACATTTTCTTTTGCATTTAATACTGTTTTGTACTTTTATTTCCTGTCACTGACTATATTTTCCATTCAGAAGCTATTGAAAACTACTCACTTCCATTTCTGCATTTTTTTTGTTCTCTGTCTACTTCAAAAGGTAGATGAGACCCAGTAATCAACTCCATAGGAAGGTTAAAACTGTTATTATTGAGATTGGCTAGAATAACAGAATCTTGCAAGTCTGATTATATTGTGTTTATAGTTCAGTGATTTGGGAAAACGTCTGTTAAGATGCTTCCAAATATTATATATCCATTGTGCACTTAAAATATTTTTCATTCCTCATTGCCCTAGTAATGGATCTTACATATCTATATCAAAGTCAACTTCATAACTCTCCATACTGTCTGAAATGGATTGTTGTTGTTGTTAGACACGAAGTTGTGTCCAACCCATTGCGACCCCATGGACAATGTTCCTCCAGGCCTTCCTTCTCTCTACCATCCCCCAGAGTCCAATTAAGCTCACACCGACTGCTTCAGTGGCTCCATCCAGCCACCTCATTCTCTGTCGTCCCATTCTTCTTTTGCCCTCAATCATTCCCAGCATCAGGCTCTTCTCCAGGGAGTCCTTCCTTCTCATTAGGTGGCCAAAGTATTTATTTATTTATTTATTCATTTATTGGTTCGATTTATATGCCGCCCTTCTCCGGAGACTCAGGGCGGCTTACAATGCATTAATTTGAGTTTCATCTTCAGGATCTGGCCTTCTAAAGAACAGTCAGGGTTGATCTCCTCTAGGACTGACTGGTTTGATTGCCTTGCAGTCCAAGGGACTTGCAGGAGTCTTCTCCAGCACCATAGTTCAATTTTTTGGTGCTCAGCCTTCCTTATGGTCCAACTTTCTCAGCCATACATTGCAACTGGGAAGACCATAGCCTTGACTCTACACACTTTTGTTGGCTGGGTGATGTCTCTGTTTTTTAGTATGCTGTCTAGAGTCTGAAAAGGATACACGGGGGTAAATATTAGGGTCTACTTGGAGCAACAAGAGGGAAACCTTAGCCAAGAACTTTGCAATTCAATTTTTTAAGACCCTCTTTATTTTCAGCCTTAGAATGAGAAGCACAATACTTCGACAAACAGGTTGAACTACCAAACCATGTTACAATGTGTTCTGGCTTTTTTTGTGTCATTCAGTTACATTCTGTACTGTATTTAATCAGATTTTTTTCAATGTAGTTTTGTATGTTTGTCAGTGCCTTAGATTAAAAGTTCATTCTATATCTGAAGCTTATGTTAATTTTCTTACACAGTCTCCTAATTAAAATGTGGAAAGTTCTTTCTATTTTTAAAGGACATATGAAAAAATAACTATTGAGGGACTAAATTAAGATAGATATATTATTTTAAACAAAATATTTTCCTGCTTATGAGTTGTCTTTCCTCAATATTTGGATTGATTTTTCCTTCTCTTCATTCCAATTTGTTCATTTCTTTTACCGTTTTTTAAGCCAACTTTCCCTAACCTGGCGATCTCCAATTTTGATGGACAACAGCTCTATGCTACATAATTTCATGACTATCATAACAAGCTAGTATAGTAATATTACGGTTTAGTTTAGTGGCTTGATACATGTCCCTGGATAAGGTTTCCAGGTATGAATGTGATTGCAATTATTGAAGTAAGCCCCAATTTAGCCCATGCCAAGGAAGGATTGTTTAAATCCATTCCCAGAGTGGCTTGCTTCACAAGGATTACTGATGCATTGACAGACAGGTTCACATATCATGTTAAACCCCCCAACAACACCATAACCCAGAGAATGCCAGGTTAGAGAAATCTGCCGAAAATGCAGCAGAATTTCTATCAAAACAGTGAATCTCGGCTTTCCTTTTGTCTTGTATTGATTTAGCTCTTCTGTGTTCCCAGGTTCATGGGCTATGCCTTTAGATAGCAGGTATGTTACTTTAACTGGAACCATCACAAGAGGAAAGAAGAAAGGACAGATGGTAGATATCCATGTTACACTCACCGACAAAGAGCTGCAAGAACTGGCTCGGTCAAAGGAGCTTCCAAAAACAGAAATGCCTGAAAGGAAGAAGGCTTGTGAAGTTGGGATAGATAAAGGACCCCACGTTCTTCTCTGGAGCCTTGCCTGCCTCCCTATTATCTTCATTATGTCCTTTATTGTTTCTTTTTACTATGGGACCATTACTTGGTACAATGTCTTCTTGGTGTACAATGAAGAGAGGACCTTTTGGCACAAGATCACCTTCTGCCCATTTCTAATTATCTTCTATCCTATCTTCATCATGGTGGTTTCTTTCTCTCTGGGCGTTTATACAGCAATAACTCAAGTCTCCTGGGCCTTTGGAGATTGGTGGCATGCAGTGAGGGATATGGAGAAAGGATTTTGTGGCTGGCTCTGTAGCAAGGTGGGCCTGGAAGATTGCTCTCCGTATAGCATTGTTGAGTTGCTAGATTCAGATAATGTCTCAGGGAGTCTGTCAGCCAAAGGTTCGACACAGGGTGAAGAGGTTTCGGCTGTCTGAGTCTTTGCATTAGGAGATTATGAATATACATAAACTGATTGTTTGAAGTATGGACAAAAACTCTGATGCCAACTTGAGCGTTCAGAAATAAGACCACACATTGGTAATTTCTGCATAGTATGTCAACATGAAATATCTGTTTCCATTTCTGTGGAAAATGTTCTTTTTTGTAGAAAGCAGGCATGACCTGTAGAAAGATTTTAGCCCAGCTAAAATGTCTTGCTAATATTGAACATGATGTGCTTTGATACAGCCATAGGCTGCAAGGAAGAGATACATGTTTGATGCCTAGAAAATCTCTTTGCACATCTAAAAATTAAGAGCAATTTTTAGCAAGGCTGGGTTGAAGCCATTTCTCTGGTCAGCTTGTTTCCTGGATTTTTACGAGATCACATATTTAATTCTAGGCTCCTGCCTACAATGAAACGATTCCACCCATTTTCTACTTGTCTGTATGAACCAAGGGATCATGAAATATCAGTACGCTGGAGAAAAATGTCCTATTCCTTGTTAGGATGAATATGGTTAATTAGCTTATGGGTTTAGCTAGTCGGATCAATTTCAGTTGGACAGTATTAAGCAAGATAATAGAGCTGGGCTGCAGACATTTGGCTAACCATAGTAGTAAAAGGTTACAGAAAAGCATATTTCTTTGCTGCCATCTAGTGTTTTTCTGATTGTTTTGCAGCCCAGAAGTTATTGTGATTGCTTCTGTGGGAGAAGAGTAGTACAAAGAGAAAACAGAGTCCAAAGTTTGCTGATTTTTCACAAATCTTTCACTGTGGACATTCTTGTCCATCTTTCAAACAATGGCTGACAAATGCTGATAGGTAAAATACATTGAACTGAGAGTGATTCCTGTTAGGTGCAAGAATCCACAGCTTGACTTAGAAATTAGAACCACAAATATGATTTTCATGAAAGAAGCCATGAGCCTAACATATACAAAGATATGTGGAATCTGCTTCCCATTTTATCCAGCCTCTTCCAATTTCAATTGCCAACTGAATTTTAAGGCAATATATTGTTGGTTATGGGGTATCAGCAGTCACATCTGATTTAATATGTGAGCAGAAAGCCAAGGTGAATTTAAATTAATTAAAGCAATAATTAAATCAAGTAAAGTATCTAGAGGAAATCAATGCAGTGTACTTGGAATGACACAATGTCCAAAACTGGAATCTCTAACATATGACGTCTTCAATGTAGACTTCAGGTGCTCATCAAGTTTTCTGCTCATAGGAAATCATTCTAATGCTCGCCAAACATTTTGCCCACATGATTTTCTTAAAAAAATAAATTACTTAAGAAGAAGCTGGCTATGCAATAAAGCAGTGTTGTCAAACTCAAGGCCCGGGGGTCAGATCAAGCCCATTTGGTGCTTAGATCTGGCCCTTGGGGCTGCCCTGGAAACAGTGAAGGACTGGCCCGCAGTGCCTCTGCCAGTGAAAATAGAGTTCAGGAAGGCTGGCAAAGGGTTGCAGGAGGCCATCGCAGACGAAAATGGAGCTCGGAAGCCCATTTTCACTGGCAGAGCGCTCAGGCCACCACAGGCGCCCCCGACAGGAGTGACAATGTTCTGGCCATGCTGCCCCACCCCACCCCCCCGAGGGCAAACACAACCCTGATGCAGCCCTCAATGAAATCGAGTTTGACACCCCTGCAATAAGGTATCAGCGTGCTACATTGACTTTTTCTAAATATGAGGCCCATATGCTTACTTACTGAAAACAATGGGCAACTTACTTCCACTGCTTACTGTGAAAGTTCCACCTATCTACGCAAAACAAGCAAATAAAACAAAAATATTAGGGAGCCACCTGAAAGGGCAGAGATACAAAAAGTAGTAGGTGGGATTTTGGTAATTCCGTGTTTTGTAACTGATTTTATCCCCAATGGCGTTTGTGTATGGACAAGGCATTTTGCCAGCCAACATTTTGCGAGAGAGCCTACCTCTTCAAAACCTATATATATCTACCAGACTTTGCCACCTCAAATTAGCAGTCATGGGATAAATCATGAGTACATGCCTTGTTGACCTCCTCAATTACTATAAGCTGTAGAACTGATGTCAGAAATTACACAACCTATCCAATCGAGCTATTTCTGTGGGGCAAATACCATAGAATGTGGAGCTACCTATGATGCAGAATTTACCTGTATTACACATTTTCTTCTAGTATATGCATTAATAGCCATCTTACTTCAGAACAGATCTGTTGTCTTCTGTGAAGTAAAGAAAACTGTGCCCAATTGGTGGTGCTATTGTATTAGTCTATTTTATGTCTGTCTAAACCGTACAGTTTTTTTCTCATAACAAATCTTTGGTTGCCTACTATTACGAAGTGTTTGCAAATATGACTGTCTATTAAAAGCCATGCTATAATTGAAAAAAACACAATGTTCTTTCCTTCCTATGCTCACACTTCGAGTGTATACTGATGTAACATGGAAAAACTTTTTTTTAAAAACCTTTTTGCTACACTCTATCCAGGCAAATTATTTTCTCAGGAACAATTTTTAGCAAGTTGTCAATACAGCAACAAGCTTTATCTCTTCGTAGCACTGACTAGGTAACGCCTGTGATATTACCACTCCATTCTTTCCACAATTGAAATAGTTTGGCATTTTAAAAAAATAAATGCTTAAAAGACAATGGTAATGAATAAACTTTTAAAAATAAACGTGATGTGCTAATAATTTTTTACAGCAAAAAATATCTTGCTGCAAACATGGATGGAGCCATATTGTTGTATTAGATCCATTGATATTCATTACCATCATTTACATCAGATTTCCCTAGTTATATCTTTCAATTAAGTTGGCTGAACTATTTTGCTATGACAGCTATTTTAAATGTTAATCTGTACTGTATCACCCATTTGTTATTTTGCTGGAATGTCCCAAGAGGCTTAATAGCTGAATATTTAATGATGCATTTCATAATTTTGCTTTGGGGAAGCAGGTCTCCTTGTTCTTGAACAATGCCCCCAAAGTGTACCATCCCCTCATTTCACTTATATTAAACTGCTTTAGATGGATTTATGCTGTCTTTCTGTAACTTCTTTCTGCTACATTTTTCTTCAGATTTACTTCTGAAGATTTACTTTACTCCCCCCACAGCAATTCTTTAAATAGTCTGCTACTAAAAAAAAAAGGTCTTTCAAAACTTTGGATTTAATTCCACTTTCATTCATTTTCAAGGGCTTCAGTGATATTAAAATAGGTTAAGTTACATCAGGATGAACAGGAAGAAATGATACTTCTTGTGACTCCTTCAGAACTAGAAGAATCTGTGATTTTTTTTTAATATGAACAATGTCATTTGTTAAAGTAAAAATGGAGTTTATCTAGCCAACTTTTATCTTTCTCATTCTCTCAGTTTGGAAGTGTATTCGGGAGAGGGGGAGACCCTCTCTTCACCTTTTGAAAAGAATTACCGGTAATTCTTGGGAAAAGAAATTTTAAAATAAATCTAAGAGAGATGAGCAGTTAAGAAATATGAAATATAAATAAAATAAAGTTTCAGGAAGGATAATTCCCAATTCATTTCCAGAGAACTGTGTAACTCCCAAGAAATTTAATTACCGGTAATTAATTAAACCATGTTTAATTAATTAAACCATATGTTTAATTAGCTTGCACGGGATTTTTTGGGCTCTCTGATTTGCAATAAATTTTGAACTTGAGGTAACACAGGCTTCTTTAGGGACAATTTTTGACCACAAGTGAAATTAAGGTAAAATAAATATATAATTGGAAACTGTTGGTTTTAAAATAATTTAACCTGGGAGACAAAGACAGGGTACATGGATGTTTGGTAAATACAGTTTCTTCCGAATTAAAATATGCTTTACTCTGTGTAGGTTGAGTAAACCATCTGTATTCAAATTCTTTTTAGGCCATTGGCAAAGAAAAATAATAATTACCTAATCTGTGAGATTTGTTTTGGGATTGAATTGGAACTTTCTACATATAAAACAAATGTTCCACCACTAAGCTACAGCTCTTACTCATAACAATCCCCTACAAATATCATGGAATTTTACTCAGCTATATGTTATTTTTCCTGATTCTTATGTGTGGCCAGCCTTTTCTCAAAAAATCTTTACAAATCTCAGAACGTAATTACTTCCTGGAGAGTTCCTCGCTAGGAATTATTTCAATAAAATGTTTCTACCACATCAAAACCTGTCCACATCTTCATCTGCTTATGTTATTTCCACCCGGAGCAAGCTTCAATTAATGTCAATGAATACATTGCTTCAACATGAAGGAAGTGGGTTATTTAACATCACACAGAATCCATTCATACAGATTCAGGCCACAGCTGCAGTTCTTGAAATGAGGCACTTTTTCTTTGGATACAGCAAGAAGCTTATTGTTTTTCATTTTGAAGTTTAGTGTTGTGTGCTCTTGCTTCAGACCTGGGTGTGGCAAAATCAGGCCTTGTTTAAATGGAGATCACACTTGTCAGTGGAAATGAGCAAGATTCCTTCAAAATCCACTATTCCTTTCATCTTGGCAGCATTTTTAAACATTATATAAGTTTAGAAATGGTACAATCTAAAAATGCTGTTTAATATCATGTATTCTTCCTGGCAAGTATATACGGTACAGTACTAATAAAGGAGAATATTTGTAGCTCAGGGTTGACATGAGGGTTCCTTGGTGTTCTCTTGCTTGCTTGCTTTCTTGCAGATGTTTCATTACCCAAACTAGGTAATACTAGCACTGATGATGCCTAGCTTGAGTAATGAAACATCTGCAAGAAAATAAGCAAGTTCAGAGAGCACCAAGGACCCCTATACAGTACTAAGTCAGAATGAAGTTTGTTCACCTTTTGCTCCATGTCTTGTATTTAACTTTATAAGTAATTCTCACTTATGGAAGAAATATCCATCTGGTTCAGTTCCAAGTGGGGAGAAAGACACTGGAAACATAGAGGCTGATTGGAAAGATGGTTTATTGATGGACAGGACCACATGGGTTTGAGGTCCTGGGCAACTGAACACATGGAGGAGAGACAGAGAGAGACACAGAGAGAGAGAGGAATTTATACATTATTTTAGGCCTTGCCCTTGAGCTTCCTGTTCCTGTGCAAGAAATGTATTTATTGGCTGTAGTCAGACTCCCACGTGGAGTCATGTTTGTCTGAATCAAGTTTGGTTGAACCTTGGGCTGATGTAATGTCCCCAGGTGATTTCGCAATGCAGTGAGCCCTGCTGCTAGATAATCCTATAATGTCCTGGAGGGTCATGCATGTCTTAATCCCATCACCCTGGAGCTGAAGGTCTAATTGCCTTGTAGATAGGCTGGCCCACTCCTGCTGGGGCTATTAACAAAGGTGGGGGCTGCTTTCCAAGAGCATGCTTCTCCTTTAGGGAAATATAATATTCTGCCTTTTTAATATTTCTCAAAATATTTCATTCTTCTAGGAGGGATGGATGCTAACTTTCTACATCACCTTAACAATCACAATTGGGACCAGAATTCTTGTAGCTAAGCAAGGTGCTTGCTAAGTGACTTGCACCTGAGTTTATAATCTTTCTTGCCATGACTGTTAAGGAAATTGCTGCAATTGTTAAATGAATCAGGCAGTCATTAAGTGAATCCAACTTCCCTTATAGACTTTGTTTGTGGGAAGCCAGCAGAGAAGGTTGTGCATGGCAATCATGGGACACTTCAACTAAATATATGCTGGTTGCCAAGTGCCTGAAGTTTGATCACACGACCATGGGGATGTTACAATGGTGGTAAATGCGACAACAGGTTGTAAGTCACTAATTTCAGTGCAGTTGTAATTTTGAATGGTTGCTAAGCGAATAGTTGTAAGTCAAGAATTTCCTTTACACTGGCCCAGTTGCATCTCAGAACCGCAAGGAATTGTACCTACCCAACCTTCACTGGGCCAGAAAAAAAATTCCATTAAGGAAGTCCATTAAGGAATCCAAGGCTGCAGCTTAGATCAACCACATCCAAAAAAATTAAGCAAGTCCATTAAGAAATCTAAGACTATAGCCTAGATTAAGACGTTGCAACAACAACAAAAAACAACAACAACCTAGAATAGTGCAATGGGTATGTTGGCCTGTAGGCCCATCTTCAGTTCTTTAATTGGACTGTCTGTCTCCAAATGGTGGCTGCAGGTCGCACCTTCTGAAAGCTACTTTTAGGGGAGACCTAGTTAGCTCTTAGAGGGGAGATACCTAGTCTCTAGAGTTGTATGCTAAATTAAGAAATTGCACACTTGCACCCTCTCATCCAAAAGCCAGAAGGAAATAATTAAGCATTTCTGGACTGCTGTCAACTGTCAAAAACAAACAAACCCCTTCCTGGATGTGTTCATGAAACTTCCCAAGATTTGAGCTTAATCTGAAAAAAGATTTTTCAGTAATATTTGCAAGAAACTAGCAATGCCAAAATAAGAGCACATGAACAGCGGCGTTATTACAAACACTGCCAAGACTAAGTGCATGAGATGACAGACTTTGTCATTTGCTCCCTTGTTCTTACCAGCACCCGAGGCGTTCATGGAGATGTTGCCTTTCATCCAAATGAAATTAATTGGACATTAATATCTACATTGCATGTAAATTCACCAGTTTCCATGATTTGCATGAGGACTATTACATATTCAATGGGTGTCTGTTAGCAAGGATTTCCAATCTTGTGATAAACAAGCACAAGAGCCATCCAAGGAACAGCACCAATAACTACCTATCTGAAACACAGAGCCTTGGTAGTACAGTGGTTTAATGCACCCTGTTATTAACACAGCTGCCTGCAATTTCTGCAGATTCGAATCTTACCAGGCTCAAGGTTGACTCAGCCTTCCATCCTTTCTAAGGTAGGTTAAATGAGGACCCAGTTTGTGGGGGCAATAAACTGACTTTGTATAAATATACAAAAGTATGAAGGCTATTGCTTAACGCATTGTAAGCCACCCTGAGTCTCCGGAGAAGGGTGGCATATAAATTAAATTTAAAAAAAAAAACACCAGTACAATATTATGCAAATAAGAATCGTTGGAGCTAAAATGTCCTTGAAAGATTTCATGCAACAAACACTGATTGGGGTTAATACATAGATTCTTACTATCAATAGGGCTTCTGATAAAAAGCCTAACAGTTTTTGGCGTTTATTAAATTGATACGGTTATTTAACTATATGTCCAGACAGCATCAGTCCAGGGTTGGCTTTATTTTGAGAGATCCACCATTGCTGTTCCAAAGGTGTTTCCCCCCCCCCCCCCAAAAAAAAGCAACTGGACTTTCTTGGTGTTTTCTTTGAAAACGTTTCGCTTCTTCAGTTCTAACGGAAGCTAAAGGTTTTCAAAGAAAAAAAAAACCCCCAAGAAAGTCCAGCTGCTTTTTGGAAAAATCAGCCTTTGGGACAATCGTGACCTGGATTGATGGACAATCTCCACAGACATCATTGCTGCTTTTCGTTCTGCGGACTCCGGCTACTTCCTTTCCTAGCCGCGCCAGTCGCTCCAGCCTTCTGTTAACCGAGACGCAGCCATCGAGGGTCGCTGTCGGCTTTATTCTCAATTCGGAGGAAGGCGGGACAAGTTTCGCTGCCGTAAAGCAAGGCGACTCCAGAAGGAAGAGGCGCCGGGTTTGTGGCGGAAGACCGTGAGAACTTTACAGGATGTCGCGGGCAAAGGTAACGTGAGAAATCGGGCTTAGACCTGGAAGATTGGCCGTCAGAGTGTTTATGAAGGCTTGCCTTTTCCCGCCACAGGCGGCGGCAGAAGCCTGGATCAACTGATCACTGTCCTCCTCCGTTTGTTGGGGCTGCTTGATCCGGATTGGTTACCTCTTAACCATCACCATGTTGGCTCTTTACTCAACGGCGCTTAGCGATTGGACTTTTTTCTCCTAGGCCCTCCCCCCCGCCGTAGAGCGTTTTGTTTTGTGAATGAGAGCTTTCGAACCATATTAGAAGTAAACGGAGGGTAAATGGATCCCGCTACTTCGTAGGGAAGTTGATGTAACAGGTTGCAGGAAGTCTCTATTCTGCATCTATAGATGCAGGA